AGGTTGTGTACTTTTGTCCAACTGAGCAATCTTGCTTTCATAAAATATACCAACATTTTAATGACTGATGATTAACATGCTGTAATACACAGTTCAAAATTAAAGGCTCAAATGCTGTACATGAGAGGTTAAGCTCCCCCTGGCGGTTTTACAAGGCGACGCCGGATAGTTAACCACGTGACACCACGTAAACTGCGTCATACCGCGTGATACTGTGACACGCCCACCGGGGTATGCCGCGAAATACCTCACGTATTTTGAATGGCTGCATCTGTAAATGCTGAAGAGCAAGGGGCCCAGTATTGAGCCATGAGGAACACCAGACTTCACAAAACCAATTTCAGACCTATACCCATTAAGAGAGATAAAGTGACAGTGATCAGTGAGGTAAGACTTGAACCATTTGAGAGCAGTGTCAGAACTCAAAACATAGTCTCAAGATGAGAAAATAAGATGTCATGGTCAACAGTGTCAAAAGCAGCATTGAGATCAAGAAGCTATTAGAAGATGGTTAGTGACTTTGATCAGGGCAGATTCTCTGCTGTGAAGGTGACGGAAGCCAGATTGGAGGGGTTCAAAAAGGTTATTTGTCATGTGGTGGTTGTGTAACTGAAATGTGACAGCATGTTCTAGAATTTTTGCAACAAAGTTTAAGTTGGAGATGGGGACACACAATATCTTGTACAGCAGCACCAGCAGCCATGATTGCAGCAGGCTATAATGTAAGGTGTGAGTAGGCTAGGCTGAAGTAATAGGTCTTCAGTCTGGATTTGAATACTGAGATTGACTCGGCATCCCAAATATGGGGTGGGAGACTGTTCCATAAGCTAGGAGCTCTGTAACTAAAGGCTTTACCGCCAACTGTTATTTTATTAATTCGTGGAATATGAAGAAGACCTGCATTCTGTGATCTAAGTAGACGACTTGGATGGTAGACATTAATAAATTCCATTAGATGGACAGGTGCCTGACCTCTGAGAACCCTTTAAGTAAGTAGAAGGATTTTGAAGTCCTCCCTGCACCTGACAGGAAGCCAATGAAGAGAGCTAAGTATGGGGATTATATGGTCGTACTTTCTGCTTACGTGCTGAGTCTTTGAGGCAAATTTTTAAATCCTCTGAGGTAAGTGCTGAAGTTATAGTAGTCATATCACTATTGTTTCCCATAAACAACAGAACCTAGAGTTAAGTAAAAAAAAGTTTTCACACATCCAATTCTTTACTTCATTAATGCAATTAACTAAAGTGATAATAGAAGAGTTGTCGTTTGGTGTAACCGAAATGTATATTTGCGTGTCATCAGCATATGAATGAAAGTTAATATTATGTTTTCGGATTATCCTACCTAGCGGCAGCATGTAGAGAGAGAACAATATTGGTCCCAGCACTGATCCCTGTGGTACCCCAAATTGAACTGGTGACATTGATGAAGCAGTACAATTATTAGATATTTGAACATAATGAAAATGATTACTTAAATATGAAGTAAACCACTTAAGGACGGTTCCAGATAAGCCAACCTCAAACTCAAGCCTGTGTAGCAAAACAGAGTGGTCTGTTCTAGAAGATCTAGAAGCACAAGCACTGTTGCATTCCCTGTGTCAGTAGCTAACAGAATATCATTTACGACTCTTGTTAATGCAGTTTCAGTGCTGTGGCCTGGGCGGAAACTAGACTGAAATTTCTCAAGTATATTATTTGAATCCAGATATGACTGCAGCTGGGCCACAACTATTCTCTCAAGAATTTTAGATATAAATGGGACGTTTAAAACAGGCCTGTAGTTGTTAAGAACCTGTGGATCCAAATTTGACTTCTTAAGGAGCGGTCTAACAACTGCTACCTTAAATTGGTCAGGTACAACACCTGATGCAAGGGACACGTTCATTATACTAATTATAGGTTCTGCCAGTACATCGAGGGAATCTTTTACTAGCTGAGTGGGGATGGGATCTCACGGACAGGTGGTTGTCTTTGTCTTAATAATTAATTTCTTGAGTTCTTGTTCATTAACTAATTGAAAAACACTAAAGAGGTGCTCGTATTGTGTCTGTACCAGATTTCTTTGCGGCTTATTTGATTGTGTTTGAAGTCTGATGGTGTTAATTTTATCATTAAAGAAGTTCATGAAATCGTCACTATTAGAGTTAGATGGTGCTATAGAATCGGTCTTATTTGTTAGATTAGCTATTGTCTTAAATAGGTAGCAAGGGTTATTTTTATTGCTTTCTATAAGTTCAGAGTAGTAAGCTGACCGAGCTCTATATAGGGCTTTCTTATATTGTTGCAGGCTATCAGTCCATGCTGACTTGAATACTTGCAAACCAGTAGACCTCCATTTGTGCTCTAGTTTGGGGCACTCCTGTTTAAGGGATCATGTGTGATCATTATACCATGGAGAGTGTCTAGTGGTTTTGACTACCTTGGTCTTTAACATGCAGGGAGGAGGTGGAGTAACATGCTGGTGGAAAGAATTTGGTCCGGATGTTGTCAGTCTTGCAACTAAGAAACTTTTACGTTATAGTTACAGTTACTAATGTTACAGTTGGGATTATGCAGATAATATAGTGGGGAGATTTGGCTTGAGTTTGGCTATTAATGGTATCTAGGTTTGATCAAAAAATGTTACGAAGCATTTTTCAGGACCCTATGCAGACAGTAGAATCCGGACCAAACATGGAGGAAAGGAGACTAGGATAGGGGCTGGAAGACAAATAGGGGTGCGAGTCAACGGTGCGCTGGTGGTCGTGGGGGGGCGTGGTCCATGCGACAATCCAGAGCCGATAAAAGTTTAAAACCAGAGCAGGATCTGGTGAAGGGTCAGGGAGATAAAAAGGGCTAACGGTGTGAGGGGCTCCAAGCCCCGGACTCGGGTGGGTCAGGACGCCGATAGGACTTGGTGGTAGGCTGGCCTCCTGGCATCCTTCTTCCAATGCAGAGCCAGGAATGATGGGAGCATCTGGCTTTTGTAGGGAAGGGCTGGAACAAGAGGCAGGTGTACAAAATCAACTTAACTGTGAAAGAGCCACAGGGCCCTTAAGGTTGGAGGGATTACAATCGTGACAGAAAAGCTATTTAGAATTATTATATAATCCTAATCTCAATTATATAGCAGAATTAGCTTGATCTATCAGATTCCATTGCAACCTTGTCCTCAAATCCTCCTCGAATGGTCTTTCCAAGACTGAAGATACACATTCAATCTAAATTGTTTCCACCACCTTCTAGTTTGTGGAAGACTGTCTTCATTGACATGATGGCCATCAATTTGGACACCATTCTCCTCTAAGACACTGCATCTAAGGGGTCAGAACTTGCTCTTTTGATGAAATTGTTCAGCCTGTTAGCATCAACTGCTCTAATCCCAGAGCCCCAGCACACCACCATATAGAAATGGCGCTCGCCATAACTGACTGAAAGAACATATGAAGCATCTTACTACACACACTTACGAATCTGAGCCTCCTCAAGAAGTAAAGTTGGTTCTGGGCCTTCATGTAGATGGCCTAAGTGTTCTTAAACCATTCCAGTCTATCATTGATGTACACTCCCAGGTACTTGTATGAGTCAACTATCTCCACGCCACTCCTATGGATGCAGACAGGAGTAGGTTGGACCCTCTTCCTCCTGAAATCTATCACCAGCTCCTTCAGCTTTACCACGTTCAACTGCAGGTGGTTCTCCACACACCACTCCACAAAGCTGTTGACCAGTCCTCTGTGCTCTTCCTCCTGGCCACCCTTGATACATCCCATAATTGCAGAGTTGTCTGAGAACTTCTGCAGGTGGCACAACTTCGAGTTGTATTTAAAGTCCGAAGTATAGAGGGTGAAGAGGAATGGAGAAAGAACTGTCCCCTAAGGAGCTGTTGTGTTACTCACTACCTGTTCAGACACACTGTTTTGCAGTCTCACAAACTGTGGTCTGCCTGTCAGATAGTCGGTGATTCATGAGATCATGGAGGTACCCATATAGGAGATGGTTTTAGTTTTAAGAGGTGCTATGGTATCAAGAGTCATTAAAGAGAACTATTGTACCTTGTTCATTGCATTTCCATTCTCTTTCTCCCCTCCAGTTCAATCCAATCAGACCTCTCAGTGCTGACTATTTCAACAAGAAACCCACAGTAAATGACACGGCCCACTGTCTTGTCTACGTTGTGGCAGCAGATCAGCTGAGCATTATGGAAGATCATATTCTGAAGCTTCTGAAAGAAATCAGATCAAAAGTGTCTGACTTTGGTAAGAAAATTATCATGTAAGAGGCTATGAAAGGTAATGTTTAAAATTAATAAAGAAAAATTATGTTTCAAATTGATTCCACACAATACAGTAACAATGTAGTGTTCAGGGTAGAGCACTCAGGTACACAGCAAATTAGTTATTCTGTTTAAATGTTTTTAAAATTTGATATAGTTCGCATACCAAAAGTTTAATTGCTGCAAATCTGCTAATATTCAATATGTATTTATAAATATTTCAACTCTGTGTTATATACCATTGAGCATGACAAACCCCACACCACTGGGTGAACTCATTGTGGTCCTGTCTGTTCATGATCTTTTCTCCACTCGCTACACTGATTCTTTTTTCTTTCATTGACTCTGCACACTAACAATTCTCTCACTTCCCCAAAAAGTAATTTATCTTAAAAATATACTACAAACACACAGATACGTCACCGTTTGTTGTGCTCTCACCTCTGCCAGTGTCCCTCTCTTTCTCCAACACACCCAACATCACTCTTCTGAAACCCACCCAGGGTTCTTCTGGCCACAGTCCCTGCTCTCTGGATTTCACTCTGGTTCACTGTCAGACAAAAGCAAAATTCACACATCTGTCTTCCATTCAGGTATAGGGATTACCACTGAATCTCCTGATCTCCAGTCTAACCAGTACATATTGGTGGCCATTCAAGCCCAGCATCCAGCAGAAAGTTATTAATCTACATGTGACTTTTCACACAATTTCTCTCTCATTTTCCAATCACTTGGGCTTGACAATACAGATAAGATTGCTTGCAGTCTGACAAACTACCAGGGAATGTACTGTACTCCATACTGTCAGCTCCATTGTGTAGAAGCTGAACCCTACCAGTGTATCCCCTGATGTGGTCTGTAATTTGTCCTTTTCTGTCAAAACCTCTCTTGGCTTCCAAATATCATGTTGTTTCCATGCCTACTGTCTTCTGTGTGCCATTCAGACACACAGCAGGCTGATCAGACCTCTGGCATCTGAACATTTTTGATTGACGTCTCTCAGTCATTCATCCAGAATCCCTGGTGTATCCTCAGCACACATACACACATATTCACTATAAGGTTTCTGCAGCCTATAGCTACTCTGTTGTTAAGACTGGCCTCATTGTTGGCAATTAGGGATATTACCCCAGCATCCTGGCCAAATATCCCATTGGCCTTTGCCAACATGCCCTCCTAAAAATACACTTCTATAAAATGGCTTCATCACTACTTCATCCCCCATGCAATGAGACACTGAACTCTCTCTAGAGCTCACCAAACTCTCAATTCACTACAGCTATGAATTCACATTGTAATAAAAACACTCAAAGGACTCAATGAAGACATCCATTGAAATTATTATGTGTAACATTCAAATTCTTAAAGTGCATTCTATGTATTTCTAATTGATTAGACTTAAGCAAACATGATTATATCTTTCAAATACTTATAAAGGTGCAAGTAAAGAAAAACTTGTAATTGGCTACCTGTGATTAATATACTGCAAGCAGAAAATTGTAATTTGTCAAACTCTCAATTTTGTCATAGAATGTCTTTGAGGAATTACCTTGTCTTATTGTTCAACAGTGACTTTTGCTAGAAGCTTACAGCGGCATTAAGGCAGGACAAGCTCATCCTCAGATTGGCATTGACTCACTTATAGAACTCACATCACAGAACACATAATGTACAGATCTGACAAGTGTCAGAGTATAGAGAGTACAGTATGCTGTACGTGTAAACTGAGCTGATTAACAACAAACAGTTAAATTTAAACTGACTGGTTTAAAACAGAAAATGGCTATTTAATTTAAAAAACTATGCTTCTTTAAAAGATTAATACCTAAGTACAAATCTTGAATAGGAGTAAATGTTAATAGATTAAGACATTAATTTGTTGAAACTACAGTGGATTTCATGAAAACCTCTAAGATCATTGAATTTAATCATTACCTCTAAGATCATTGATAAAGAGTATTTTTTAATACCATTAAATCTGACTCATGTATGCAATCTGTTCAAATTTTCAAAAGAACACTGCAATTTGGCTATACTGAATTTGTAAAAGGAATTGATTAAGTCGGGGGCTAGACTGTCTCCAATCACTGCAGAACATCAGTTCAAAACCCCCATAGACCACCACTGTATCACAGAACTCTGAGTTCACTTACTCAAAGAGCTAAGCACCTTGTTTATAGCCATCAGAGCTGTTACAGCCAAAGAAATCTGTCTGAAAGAAGTGGTTTAAAATCACTTAGCTGTGGTCATGAACCTAAACTGAATTTAAAATACTGATATTATTTTACTGATACATGGGCAGCTTTCTCTGTCCATAGATCTTGGTCTGCGGTAGCCATAAAAAGAAATAAAACAGCGAAGAATCAAGGACCTCGGGTCTTGCAATAGTAAACACATGTAGTAGCATCTACAATTTACACACCTGCACCAAAGAATTCTACACCTGATGAGCATCAATGCTGTGATGAAATGGGATCTTCCAATTGGCACTATTAAAATGGTTGATAAAACACAGATTCACATTTATTCAGGGCAGAGTGGTGGCTCTGTGGCTAAGGATCTGTGCCTGTGGCTGGAAGGTTACTGGTTCAAATCTTTTAGCTGGCAGAGGAATCCTATTCTGTTGGGCCCCTGAGCAAGGCCCTTAACCTCAACTGCTCCAGGAGCACTGTATAATGGCTGACCCTACACTCTGACCCCAAGCTTCTCACCCTGTCTGTGTGTCTTGTGGACAGCAAGTGGGGGTATGAAAAAGACACAATCCAGATACACAAAATTGTATAAAAATAGAAAAAATATATAAATGAAGAATAATTTTCGCCATCAGTGTGAAATGATAAAAGTAAGTTGAACACAGTACAAACTAATTGGTACAGACAAAACATGCACTACATGTGAAAAACAAAATAAAAGTATTAAAGGTCCCAAATAAAAGACATTTGTACCAAGTATTCTGAATGTACAGTATTTAATGACAAGTGTAGCCATGTGATTTTACAATGTGTAAAATCAAATTACTTGGGGAAAAAAAACAGAAATGCTAATTAATAATAGTTCTAGTCTTTACCATGCCCATGCCTCTGAAACTTGAACCTCTGCTTAAGGAAGGTTTGAAAAATGATTTGTTTATGCAGGTATTCCCCAGGTTGTGCTGTTAACTAAGGTGGATAAAGCCTGTCCATTGGTAGGAAATGATCTCCAGAAGGTGTACAGGAGCAGATACATCAGAGAACTGGTGAGTTTAAACTTTGCTGCTGCAGGTTTTAAAATTAATATATTAACTTCTCAACTGACACTTGAGTCAAGAGAAGGCAAAACCTGACCTAGACATTAAAAAAAAACTTCTACAAGTTTTGTACCGTATTAAATATAGTAATCAGTTTAAATTATTTTGCTAATGTGCTTCATAATCAGTCTGCATCTAGGCTCTGGCTGGAAGGAGACAGTAAGAGCTCTGAAGTTAAGGGATCTTAGTGTCTGTCTGAGTTGGCTAACAGGTCTTTGAGACTCTCAGTGAGGTACAGTAGACTTGAAGAAGATGCAGGAGATGCAGTACTGATATGGGTAACGATTTCCAAAATGTGTGTTGCAGCACGTTTTCTTGGTCCAGTGGTGTAGAAATGTATTATTAAGGAACAGGAATGGCTGCATAATATCTTCTCACAACAGATAGGAGAGCAGAGTCTAATCAGCACAGACTGTATAACAACTGCTGTGTCAGAAAAAACGGCATCACCTGAGAGTTTGTGTGTTGAAAGTTGTTTTTATTTTATATGCATATGGAAGTCTTGCTTTCAGAACAAGACTTCAAAATGTTTACAGTGCTCCTTTATATAGTGGAACAAACAATACAAGATACATTCTCACATATCTCTCTGCTTGCCTTATGGCTATAAATAGTCATTCTAAAAAACTAACCAGTACATATACAGTATACTGTATCCTTTACTGCCAGCTTGCGTGACCAGCAGCCCCTTCTGCTGAATAGACCCTTTGTTCCCAGAGAGGTCATTCGGTCCTTTCCCCGAGAACTATGTCAGCTGAGCGTAAAGACATCATGTGGCTATGTTATTTTTTGAGACCAGATATCCTGAGACAGCTTTAGTAAAATATAAGTAAAAAGATATATAGTTGACAAGATATAATACAAACTTTTAGTTAATTCCTTCACTACTCACCCTGCATACCAAGATCCACAGACAGACAGGTATTCACTGAGGCACAGGAAAGAGGTAAGAGAAAGTATAGACATATTTTTGGTTTTTTCTTTAAAATTTTCTGTTATTTTGATGACTGTAATGTTTAAAGTGCAGTTAAAATACTTAGACCTGAATGATATTTATTTATTTTGCCCTGTCTTTCTTTGTATTTCAGATAGAAAGGGCCAGTCAGAAATTGGGCATCCCTGTAAACTGCATTCTTCCCGTGAAGAACTACAGTGGGGAAATCAACCTGAATGATGCGATTGATGTCCTGGCCCTTACGTCACTGTTGCAGATACTCAGAAGTGCTAATGGCTACTTACAAAACTTGGATCAAAAGCAATATAACTGAGAGTTGCAAAGTACTGTACTCAATAACTAAACACAATAACTAAAAACTAACACATCTGAAGATTTTAATTAAGTCAATTTAGTTTCTTCTTATTGTAATATGTTCATGTGTTGATAATAAACTTGACAATGTAACTAAAAAAATGTCTGAGCTTAAGAATACAAATAAAGAAAATGAAAAAAACATCTGTTGCTATTTAGAATGAAATATTCCATTAGGTTCTGCTTTATAAAGCAGCAGTTATTAAAACCTGCAACTCCCAACCAAAGCTCGGCAGGTGTGAGACTAGTGAGTACCTGGATGGGAGACCTCCTGGGAAAGTTAAGTTTGCTGCTGGAACCTCATGATGTTAGTGTTGATGGGACCAGTGCTCACCCACTGGTCCTAATGCTCCAGTATAGTGACATATTTTAAAAGAGTAGGGGTGTCAACTCTCACGTCCTGGTGAAATTTCCCCCTGGCCTTTACTAATGATGGCCTCCTAATAATCCCCATCTATGAATTGTCTTCATCGCTCTGTTTTCCTCCCCAGTAATAGCTGGTGTGTGGTGAGTGTACTGATATACTTTGTCTACAGTCATATCATCCAAGTGGAGCTGCACATTGGTGGTGGTGAAGGGGATCCCCATTATCTGTAAAGCGCTTTAGGTGGAGTGTCCAGAAAAGTGCTATATAAGCACTTAATATTATTATTAATATTAATATAAAGCAACAAGTCTACAATGGACTTAGAGGTCCATGTTCCTGAGAATCATTCAATGGTACCAGAAGAGGACATTAAAGACCTCTCCTTCATCCACGACTTTCATCGTGGTTGACCTTCAAGAGTGTAGCCTTATGGTACCTCCATGGTCATCTTGTCACCACAGGGCACTTCAAGCATCGGTTGCTGGCCCAGCTGTGCAGTAGGAATGGAGACCATGCAGATAGCTGTAGCCAATCGTGAATTGACTTGTGTAACGAGAGATCCAAGCCACCCCTCCTCTGCCCTATATTAACTATGCTCTCATTACTTTCAGAGCTCAGTGTTGTTTCCTTCTGTCTTTTTACAGTACGTGTTTTTCCCTGTTCCTAGAATTCTGCTCCCTGCCTTAATTATTCTCCTGTACAGTTCAGTCCTTGTTCTTTTTTTCATGTTATAACCTCCTGGTTTCTCCTTGTTTCCTGTCTCCTGCTTTGGGTGTTTTACACTATTTCTCCTTTCTCCTTGACACCGATGTGTTGGGCACCACTGCTGTAACCTCTTCTCATTGTTTCTCATTATGTGAATCCATTTAGCCATGAGTGTCTCTGTATATAGTTCATTTATTTTCTACTTTAATTATTTTTTATGTTCTATTTCCCTTCTTCAAATGTATTGTTTATTCTTGAAAATTATTTAGGACCTGCTCCAATGATACTTGTTTAATATTATTTACATAAATAATTTACTGCGTAATAAATGAAAGCTTTTTGGGGATGAAAGTAAAAAGTTATTTTACATGTAAAAATTTAGATTAGTAGTCAACGATCTCCTGAAACTCTCAGAACAGAGTATAGGGTCCTTCCTCTACCTCGTGGACACAGTGGTCATTACAGGTACTGTAGAAGCCATCAGCTGTAACAGATCTCATATTTGTCTCAGATCTTGCCTCCGAGCTTCCCCTAAATGGACCATTTATTTTAATCCAAATGGCAAGGACTAGAGGCTGGATTCTCTACTCTTTGTCTGGGTCTGGGATATCCAAAAACAAATGTTGTGCCCTTACATTCAGGGCCATGGCCACTTGCCCTGTCAGCAGTCCAGTGAGTTTCCTATACATACAGTACATCACCCTGATGTGTACAGTATGCATAAGAATAAAAGGAGTCTCAGTATTGAAGCAGGCTGCACTCCCTGATATGCTAGCTGGCCTCAGCAGGGGCAGGTTTGAACTTCCAGAGAGCTCAGGTCCCACAGATTTTTGACACAGAACGTACAGTTAGAGGATTTGGAGGGTCAGAGTGGCTCAGTGAGAGCTGAGAAGTATCTAGCCATAGGACAAGCGGTATAAACCACTCCGGTCATGCAGTTCCATAATACAGATAGTCAGCAGTAGGCAAACTGCAGTATATTGTAGTGTGTTTCATCATGCTGAATTGAACACGTCACTGCCCAAAGAATACCAAAAGGTAGCACCTGTGGTGCTTTAGATCGGTTGAACTACTTAAAATCCACTTTATATTGAATCATGTAACTAACTGGATATTTTAGGTAGCTGAAAATAAAAATAACAAAACTATAATAATGTTTCTGAATGTTATTTTAAACATTATATATTTAATAAAACATGTAATGTATTAAATATAATAACATATAATTAAATATAAATTTAGTTTTAGTAGCTGAAAATACAAAATTAGTTACACAACAATATTCCAAGATTGCATCAAACTCTTTAAAGCTTTCACTTTCTGTGATTATATTGGGAAAGTTTTTGGACATATTTCATTTAGCTTCATTTCCCATGAGCGCTTGCAAGGCTAAATTAAAAACAATAAATAACATATACGTGAAGTTTTAAAATATATTTTTTAATTTGTCTTTTGAAGAAAATAATCAATGGTTTTAATTTTTTTTGTGTAATGAATCTTTATATTTTTAGTTTTTTTTAACTGACATTGATGCTGTGAATTGATTTCAATAAATGAAGGAAAACGTATATCCTTCTGTGTGTTATTTGTTTTATTGGGTTCTCTTTATTTATTTTTAAAGACTTAGATGAAGATCTGATCACATTTTAGATCAAATTGATGTAGAAACTCAGAAACTTCTAAAGGGTTCACAAGCTTTCTAGCACCACTGTATGAGAATACTACCAGTTATTTATTTTAATAAATTTACCTATTAAATTGTCTGCTGTAAGACAGAGTCCACTATTTCTTTGACAGACTCATACACTGTCCATACTGTACTGCCCAACAAGTGTCGGCTGAGAACCAGAAGCTGTGGGAATTTGCACTGTGTGCAGATCTATTTCAACACTTTTACAAAAAATCTCTGGAATTCCTGGAAGATTTGACGCAGCTGCTGGTGCTACTCCTGTGTTTCCAGTGCATCTGCTTTTTCTGTTTGTTCTTGGGGGTGGTGTGGGAGCAAAGTCTATTTGAACCTCCACTGAGTGGTCATCTGGAGCACTTGAATGGACCGCATACATTACCATCTCCCTCTCATTGCTCAGGTCTGCTCTGCACACCTCTTGGTTAAGTAATCCGTCGACAGGCAGGGTTACAATCATCTGCTGGGGGTAGGTATAATACCTGCACATCTGCCCTCTCCCCCCGTCACCTGCTCAATAGGGAGCCTGGGAGCTGTCCCTGAAGGGATGGATAGTTGGTTACAAATCATGGAACTCAATCACAAGGCCCATGTCAGAGTGAGCAGGGATCCTGACACCCCCTTTCTCAGACAGGCAGTTTGTTATTCAACTCAGGTTTGGGGATACCACTGACAGTCAGGTTCAATATGAGAAACCAAGCCGATGGGTGGAAGAAAACATGCTCAGCTTTCATCCTCTGTCCTTTCATTATTTGCAGGCATACCAACAATCCTGCAGTCAATGCATTAATGATCAGGTCAACAGATTTCAACACCAGTACCAATCGCGCCTCACTGTATACGTAAGATGTTTTCAGTTGCAATCCTGACATAAACGCATGTTGCACAGCCTCTCTGCTTCAAGTTTCCTAAAACTGCTGTAAACCAAAGCCCCTGTCAGTGTCTTCAAGGATGGAGTCAGCACCAGAGTCTGAGCCACTGAGCTCTCCCTGACAGGGGTTCTCCCACTCAATCTGATAAACTGAAGTAGAGGGAGGTGCAAGGTCCTCGGTTACCCTGTCAAAGGGGTCATGCCTGCAAACCCAGACGGAGTGAGCCTGAGCTCATTCACCCTTCTGGGACCCTGAGGAGAAGGAGGTCTGTATTCTAGTGTCCTGATAGCCTGCTCACTCCTGACAAGGTGAGCAGCTGTTGAGTCCTTTTGTGTTTCTTTCTGGCTAGCATTACCAGACTTTGTCCCATCACCAGTTTTCTCATGGTGACAAAGAAGCTTAGTACGGTCACGTCAACCTGATTTGGGCTTAGCTGGCTCTGGAGTTTCTGTTCCTTCCAACTAAAGGGATCTGGCATCTTGATTGGCTTTAGTGGCAAACAAAGGCAGGATAGAATCCTTTACTTCTCTAGGACTACTGTACCAGGCTTTCTGTGCCAGTTTCCTAATATCAGCGATTCACATCAGCATGTGTTATGATCTTTTCCCTGACTGACAAGAGAAGGTTTGCAATGAATAAACCCTTGAAATTCACACACTCTTGGGCACCCACATAGTTCTGCCCAGAACAATAAGTATGTTGGAGCCTTTTGTAAAAGACACAAGGAGACACAGATCACTTGTGTATAACCTGGTGGGCAGTAGCAACAGACAATATCAAATTAATAAAGATCAAATATTCCTGTTTAGCTAAAAACAACCTATCAAAGCTGCTACTTAGTCTCTGCCTTGCCATCCACTTATGAATTGCTTGGCTGGTAATTTTTCTTACTACAGTAACATATCATTCTCCTATTCTGTAGCTCCAGCCTTGAATTAGAGTGTACAGTTCAGCTCCTCAACAAAAGTCTCCAGTTTACTACGAGGTATGTTGAATCAAACATTTCTTAGTCTTTTGCTAGCTATCTAAGTAAGAGCAGGTTAACTTTGTTATCTTCCCCATGAGGTGGATCAGGGGCATGAGCGGGGTTGGAAGGATGGTGGATTGATTGATACGTCAGGGCATCTTGATCAGGGCTCTGTGGCCAGAACTTTTCTGAGGAGAGAATAAGTGGTCCCGGACTTACTGAACGCCCTCGTCCCATAAGCAGGGTGGCATAAATGCTGCAGGAATTTGTCTATCATACCTGGCTTCCTCAGTGACAGTTTTCTCCACAGTGTTTTTTTCTCATTCTGTTCATTTTCAATTTTTTTTAATTGATTAACCAAATAGTCCTACTCATGTGGTTTTATATTTCTCCAGCTTACTCTGGAGCTTCTGAGC